ATCTAATCTGAACGATAGAGAGAAGATTTAATGCAAAAAATTCAGTTGACTCAATTTTTCAAACAGAAAAGTGGTGGTAAACAAATATTTTGTTCTTGGTTATGTATTCCTACTGATTGCTTTTTATTCTTGTTTTTAAAAAGCCTGTTTGAAATGAATAAATTAGATCAAATAAAAAAAAAAAAACAATTAGGCATAATTTTCTTTCCAATTTACAGTCCTGTACAACTTCATGAATTTTAGGGAATTTCATGTCAACATAAACACACATAGTTGACTTAATTGTATTAAACTGGAAGTCTTTTAAAAGCTTTTATAAGAACACTCCAAAATAAATAAAAAAGAAAGCACTCCAAATTCCAAAACCCCCATTCTGAGGGTCATTTACTCATCTTTTCCAGCCTTTCAATTATTTATTTGTAAATTTAGCGTCGCTCGCGTCCTCAGCAGGGAATCAAACCTCTAATTTGTTATTCATCAACGCTCAACACCAGCAGCAATTAGGGACCTAATGGCTCCCAGGCCAGCAGCTCCAACATGCGAACGAACGCATGACGCCATTATATGAACTATATGTTCCTCCAGATCTTAGGTGAAGACAAAAAGCTTTTCCACAATGAAACGTATGGTTTTCTTGTCAGGGGAGATGACAAGAATCAACCACAAATGCTCCGGTTAGCAAAAGCTCAGCCATCTAGATGTTGACAGTAATTTCTAATCCCGTCCACATAAAGAACAGCAATGTGCCGTTTGCTATCAGTTACCAGTCAGGGTGTGCCAACCTGCTTATTACCAAACAGGATGACAATTTAATGAATCCCTTTTCTTGGTGTCGGTAACACTTTGTGCCCATAGCGCTCACACCCACTTAAGCATTTGATCAGAACACACACCCAGCCATTAACTCGCCGTTTTCTTTGTGATGTAACACCCACCTGACTGCTTCTCCTTTGTTTGGCCGCAGAATTATCATGTCACTGGTTTTCCCCAGCCTGTTTGTCTAAGATCTGCGCTGTAATGCGCTGAAGCTTGTGCAAGTCTTTGTTGCTCAGTGTGGATCAGGGTTGTGAATGCAACTGGGACGAGTTGTTTCGGGCTCCAGAAATCACAGCGCGAGTCTGAATTGTATGCATGGGTGAAAGGAATTGACAAAATGAAGTGATAATAGTTGATTTGAATATCTTTGAAGCAGAAGTACACCATGAAAAACTGGATGCAATTAATCCTGAATGAAATCTTACAACAAAAGGGTGCCCCCTACTGACAGGAAAGGCTGCAGCCAGATAAAACAAAAGAACTAACCACACATTAATTGATGGAGATGTTAAACATTTATATTTGATGTGTGAATTTAAGCTTTAGGTTTCCAGGAGAACCCAGATCTGCAGCTGCTGTTTCTCGCCTCAGAGAGAGCGAAGTGACCTTTTTTTTTTTTAGAAAATCTTTCTGACTGATGGACTACAGCGAGCAGCACTGCAGGTGGTGCCGTCAAAACCCATTTAAATCTCTGCCAGCACCAGCGTGCCAAATCAATATCCCCAACCCTAAAAAGCAAGCCTCGTATTTATGCAGCGTCCGGGGTCTGTGATCTGGATGCAGACTGTCCGATCACAGATGCATCATGTGTGCACTGAGGGACTCCAAGATAACAGGCTCAGCATCATCCCGCCACCACCTCCTCCTCTTCCTCTGCCAGCTCTCAGGTTTGGAGAAAAGTCACTGATGTCCTCACAGTGTGTGGCAGCATTTAAAGAGTTTTCATGACTCGCATTTGACTTTAGCTTTTGAAAGGGAAAGAAAGATCCTTTAAAAAAACAAGTTTTCTTTTACCTGCAGGCAGTTTAAAAATAAGATCTATGGTGGTTATTTTAAGCTAGCACCCATTTATTCATATTTATGCATTGAAATGGTTACAGAACATAACCATTAACAGCTCCAAAAACTGAGAATACAAACTACCTGCACTGCGTGAAGACACAGAAATGTTTCTTTCATAAGTGTTCTTGTTAAAAGAAAAACAAAAAAATAGGAGAAAATTCTATAATAAAATGCCATTTATAAGGATGAACATGGAAATAGACTGAACTTAGCTTTTTCAACCACTAACAACTATTTTTCAAACCAAAATGCAGAGCAGTTATTCATAGCTTTCTGGGTTAAACTGTTGCATGTTTGAATAATTGTTCGTTCTGCTGTCAGCTGGAGAGATTTGTGCAGTTTGTTTTTACTTTCGGTCAGTATTTACAAGGTGTAACCATGACAACAAGGTACTCTTTTTACAACTTGGAGTAGATGACTGACATTAGCATCTCAAAAGATTACATAAAGGATCTCTGTCCCTAAATCCCAGAGGAGTTAAAAAAGTTAAGCTTTCTGGATGCAGAGCAGGACCAAAGAGCAAAGAGATTAGGGCCGGCTTTCTAACCAAACGGCGCTCTGAAGAGGAGCGGCAAAAGCAAATGAGGTGGATTAGCAGTGCTTACCAACAACTGATGATGTCATTCATGATATATTGGTGTGAAATGTGCCTCTACTGACCGGACAGTCGTGAAACTGTGATACAGTGACGTTCTTCAGCAGAAGCGCCTTTAGATTATAAACGCAAGACTGACGGCTACCAAAAAATCCTCATGGATTGTTACCTTGTTTGTAACAAGATTTACAAACAAGGTATTTTGGTGCAAAGGTATTTGTGCATTGCAGCTATGAAGCTGAAGTATTTTCTTTCATAAAAACAAAACAACAATTAAACCTCTTCAAAATTTGGCAAGCGATGAAGTTCTTTGAGTCAACCGTTAAATAAAATCTTAAAGTTTTGCCTCGGATGATCCAAAGCAAATGGCGCGAAACAAATCCACAGGCCTGGAAAAAAACAACTTGCGAAGATTTCTTTATCACTCAGAGAAGCAAAACTCCTGATTAGGAGTTACAAGACACAAACACTTTTGCACCAAAAATATCTCCATAGATCCGTTCTGCATCGCCGTCCGTGACGACTCTTTGAAAGTACTGCATGATGTCAGTTACGGCAACATTTAGTTTCTATCTGGGATCAATAAAGTCTTTTTGAATTGAACTGAACTGGGGTTGAGTGCCTTGCTCTGAAAACACATCAACAAGATATTACGAGGGAATCTGGAATCAAACCAGATCTTGTTTTGCATTTATATTTGAAATACAAACAGAAATAAACATTAACCACATAAACATGGATTTTATTCCTAGTATTATTCAGTTTATGATGAGAAAAACAGCTTTGCTTTTTGAACCACTCAAAGCTAAACTTGTCAGGTGAAGAAACTAACAAAGGCATTTAAAAATATTTCTGACATTAATAATTTCCTATTTTTGAGCAAGACTGTTGTAAAAATCTTCAAGCTACATTAGAAAGAACTAAGCAACATTATAGTTTACCAGACAGTTTTCTTGATTGTCCAAACTCTTTAATTAAATGCACGTTAATGGTTGTAACAAGTAACAATATTTTCGCAAATGTGCTTCGGTTGATATCTGAGGCGGAAATATGTTTTGAAATTCTTTAGCATATCGTACCTCAAACAAGCGGCAGAAATGGCTCAATCAGGTTAAACAAATGGAAATGGAAAGCAAAAATGTAAAGTAATAATATCTTAAGTGTCAATGTGATTTTGTGTGCAGGTAATAGCTGCAGAATGTGAGAAAGACTAACTAAGCCTGAATCAACTTAGTTAAAATTCAGTTTTAACTACATCTTTAGTTGTTCAAAACATTTTTGTTAATCATTCAGAAACATGTTATTTGCTTTCAATTCAACAAAAGTCTTAAAATAGACTTAGCTACTCCTTTCTGTCTTATAAGTAGATTCTTTCCTGGCACTAACCTCTCCTGAATTGTTCCAAATTTAACTTAAAATTTTAATTAATGAAGTTAAACTTTTAATTACGTTTTTAAATTATCTACATCTATTGTTATTATGTTAAAGAAAACCTCAGACTGTTGCTTTCAAAGTCTCTCGGAGTCTGAAAGCAAACAAGATTTAAGCAGCAAAATTTCCTGAATAATCATTAAATTTTAATTTAAACAAATATTTGTGACAGATTTTTTGTGTTTCTGACTTCCTGATTGGAGAGGGGAAGAAGAAGAATACTATTTGAAGAAACAGTGCCCTGTAGTTGATTTCTTTAGCATATCGTACCTCAAACAAGCGGCAGAGATGGCTCAATCAGGTTAAGCTAAGTTAGGCACTCCTCATATGGAGATACAGAGACCCAAAATGTGCTAAACCATATGGTTCAGCGGGCAGTTAAAGGGTTAAAAATCAGCTGATTCTGATTTTTTTTTTTGTCTGAAGTGTTGCCAAATATAGTAAGAAATGTACTGAATTGGCAACAGTGGGATGAAGATTGTTACCTGCAAACCTTGGAAAATTATCTGGTCTGTCGGTCAAACCTCTAGAAGAGGAAGGTGGTTGATTTTTAGATCTTATATGCAGATAAAATTGGTGGAGAAGATCAGCTTCACATCTAAGCATCAATTAATAACCAATCTTTCAAGATTAAGGAAATCGGGACCAATTTATAAGTGCACCTTGAGTATTTGTGCATTGTTTTTTGAGAAGTAAAAGTAATTAATGCCAAAATATGTCGCCAACAACACATTTTTACAAGCCAGTTTTGCGTTACCATAACTTTGCAATACTTTGCTCCATCTGAAAAATTTCAAAGGTTTCTGAAGGATGAGACGTTGTGCTTTCCAGCCGATGTTGAGTTATTACCGAAATACCATTTTAACAAGACAGTAAATTGTAAATAACTGTCTGTTAAAATGGTATTTGGTTGTTGTGGAGAAATGGGCAAGTATATTTACTCTCAGGACATTTAAAGAAAATATCCAGGCGGAGATTTGAGACTTAGGCCTGGCAACAAATTGCTTTTGGAAATAAGTAGTTGGTAAAGTAGTTGGATTACTTTCTTGGGGAAGTAATTATTAATCAGTATTTCCAGGTAACCAGCGGTGCTCACCATGCAGGGCCTCCCTGTGCTCTAGCTCCAGTCTGAGCTGCTGCCGCTGCTCCTTCATCCTGGCCAGCTCCTGGCTGCTGCCCGAGCTGAGGTTGTGCAGCCGCCTGGCCAGCGCCTCCAGGCGGTCCCGCTCCATGTACACCGCCTTCATCTCCGCCTTCAGCTCCTTGGCACAGCCGAAGTCATTACCTGCACGGGCGCACCGCAGGAGGACATTACGCTTTCACCGCCCATTAATGAGCTTTTTCATCATTAATGGCGTAATTAAGTGCGGCTAATGGTAAGCCATTCAAGTAAATGGGGTAAATAAAGGATGTGTAATGTAGCAGGGATGGTTTTCGGGGTGGAGCTGCGTGGAAAGTTACCAGATATGGCCGCCAGTTTGGCTTCGTGCAGAGCCAAGAGCTGCGTTTCAGTCTCGCTGACTTTCCTCCTTAGGCTGCTGCCCAGCCTCTGACTCATGACCACCTGGGGATAAAACGGAGAAGATGATGGAAAGTAGAAAGTGGGGGGATGGTGCTAACTAGCAAAACCTTTGCGGGCACATGTATCCCACAGGACGCAATGCTCATTTCCTCCTCTGCCTCCATTTTCCTATATTTTTAACACTCATTCTGCGGGTGTATTTGCGTCCTTCTGTGTGCTCGCCCTGCTTGGAATATGCAGCTGTGAATCAACCTCGAACGTGTTACCTGTCTATAACCTTTAAGAAAGAACAAAACAAGGTAGGACAGCGGTATGAGGAATCTCTATAAAAGATATCATTGGAAGGCCAGAGAGAAAAGGAAAAAATAGAAAAGGAAGCTGAATGTCAGCGGCTGATGGAGATGCAGCCGCTGACCATCCGCTGAGGATTCTGGCCTCCATCTGCTCTAACGCGCTCCATCAGTTAAACCACTGCTTCGCTGTGACCAAAGCCGAGAAGCATTTAGGCCTTAACGGATTTCCTCTGACAAATATTAGCTTAGAAAACTCAAAATGCAGTTATTAAGTTATGATTATGAGGACAGAGTAATTGCCCTGGATGTGCCAACAAGTCACTGTGGAGAAACTTTGGTCCACTCTTCTTTGCAGAATTGTTTTAAAGTCACTGGAAAGGTTTTGAGTGTAACCAGCTTGTTTTTTTAGTAATATAGTTCTTGGCTTGCTGGTGAGCGTCAAATCATCTACAAAACTGAAGGCCTGGGGGCCAAACTTTTTACGGTTTCACCCTCTAGACTCCAGAGGAACGTATAAATAGACTCCTCAAGGTAATATTCGTGTGCTTATATGTAATTTTGGCAATCAAATCAAAGCAGTCTTTATCCGTTTACTCCCAGATTACATCAATAAGGCTTTTGTGTCCATTCCTTCAGTAGTTCTTGGTGCAGTGCCACCACAGGCAGATGGGGGGCACGAGTTTTCCAGTTAGTTTGAGTCATCTGACACAGTGCAGTGTGAATGCGAACTGCAGTCCTGAAAATGTAACAAATGTTGCAATTTTGATCCCCAGTCAAACAGAGTCTACCAGACTATTAGGTGTGAAAACACCCTAAAAAGCACTTTAATGTGAACACGGTTTTCCTGAGTATGCGTACGTATAAAACTAATCTTTGTGTGGACATGTCCGACGCTCAATAACTCCTTAATACAGTTACACTAGCAGATTATTTCACTTATTAGAAGACATTTTCCTATGTTATAAGTGAGATAATCTGCCAGCGGAGCTTGTGTGTTTGAAAAGTTACTTTTTAGTTAGTTTGTCTTATTCCAAGTATACTAAGAAACCAGACCAGAAATATTTTTGCAATATTTGGTGTAGTACTGCATTACTGCCACAGTCCACCTCCTTCTTTTAAGGGACTGTTTTTACACCTCGAACTGGATATTCCCACTTCTTTTCTTCCTGAATCTGACACAGTTTTCTGAGAGGATGTCGTCCTGATTAGTATTTCAAAGGCAAAACATCTCCAGGGAGTTTTCCTCGCATAGAAATCCGGCAAAACAGGCTTGAATAATTTAATTTCTACGAACTGGAAACAACTTTGGAGTGCCTTTCAAACTGTAAAAATTCGAACACTTGTGATTTAATTTCCAAAACATGCAGCTCTTTGCCAGTTTTTGTTGCAAAAAAAAAAAATCAACAGAGGGAGGCCATGAAAGTAACCGGGGTTACTTTCATGCCTGTAATCGTTTTGTCACAGCAGGTGTGCCGTTTTCAGCATGATGGATATTTAATTTAAGAAGCAAACTTTCCATTTCCAACACAACAATGGTAACCGTGGTAGAAGTGTCTCTTTGTGAAGAGCTTCTAGGTTTCTTTGAAGTGCAGCTGCAGCATCAACCAGCGATTTGATGATGGGTTTCTGAAGGACAATGTGACGGGAGAAAAACGCTTCACATAGAAAAGACTGACACCTCTTCCTGTCCTGAAACCATTCAAAGTTATTTGTTTCTGCTTGCTTTAGTTTACCAAATAGTCACTCAGAAGCACCACTACTGACCCTTTGCACATGACATCGGTCTCTCTTCTCCCTTCCAAACTTGAAAAAAATAAAGAGTTAAGAGTGAAAAAACTTTTTTTTACATAATCACACTTGTTCTATGAACTTCTGGTATAAGTTTCATATCAACATGACAATATTTGGGGAAAATAGATAGGGTATGCAAATATTGGTAAGGTAAAAATTTGCTTTGCCAAAAATTGCATCCTCCTGTTAACTTGGAGAAATAAGAAAACTAAAGGGGATTTCACCTTTTCTGCTTTATCACACTTATTCTATGAGCTACTGGTATAAGTTTCATATCAATAAGACAATAGACAGGGGATGCAGATATTGGTAGCCTCAGAAATTAAAATGCATCTCCTTCTATATTAATAGTCTGGACAGTTAGGGGTGATACCACATTTTCTACATAATGGGCCTGTGTTTTGTCATGTGTTAAGTTATTATGGTGTTGAAAGAAAAAGCGGAAAACTGCAAACCATTAGTGGAAAACATTCATCAGACACTGACTAAAACGTTCAACTCATATGTCTCAATAAAGGTGTCAAAACTGTATTTACTTCATCTGCGAAATAAAACCCACCGTTTTAGAATTTACATGATTAAGAAACATGGTAATGTTACAAATATCTTTAAAAGTTGCCTCTTCTGTCATATTTCAGTCCATTTTCTGCAAGAGTTTAGAGCGATGCGCTTTCCCGCGACAGGGCTTGCAATTCGTGGCAAGCACGCGTTTCTCAGCATGACACCGTCCCTCACTTCCAACGACCAACATGGCGCCTTGAAAGATTAAGTGATGTAGTTGAAAAGGTTCAATACCGACCAGATTCCCAACTTTTCCTTTTTTCTCATTTTTATTTCTCATACTTTTAGTTCTTTTTATCTTTAGAGAAACAGTGAATAAGGGGAGAATTTATTCGAAATGGCATATCCTGCTGCTTCTGACTCCAGCACACAACTGAGGAAATCACTGCCTTGTCAGATCAAAAAGAGTAGATAAAAAAAACAACTCTGACATCAGTACGCATTGTGAGCACACAGACATTGACACAAGACATATGTTGTCTATTTTGACTCACAATTCATTAGGTTTTCATTCACATTCAGTCAATCCCGGTTAGCTCAAGGAAGAAAAATCAGGTTACCTTGGCTGTAGCTTCCTTCATGGAAAGGTTCAGCGCCTGTTCCTGTTCCTGGAGTCTGCACAAAATGTGTAGGGATACAAATAAATATTTTTCTTTTCAAATTAAATCAATCGAAATTGTGAAATTTAGGAAATAGCTTATTTACAATTTTGGACATCATTTTAGGTTGATTTGAGCTTATGATGCTAAAGATTTGAAAGACAATCAGTCCCACATCACGACAGTTCCTCCACTCTACAGTGGATATAGGGCACTTTTTGCATTTTCATCCTTTCTTTTGCACCAGAATCGTCTTTAGTCTTGCTGAATAGCTCAATCATTACCTCCTGAAGCTAATGAACGTGGCTTTCGTCAGATTTAGGCCTGAACTCTGCATTGTCAAGACATCAGATGTGTCTAGCTGAAGCATGCCAAGGCAGAAAAGATAATTGGACCATCAGAAGTGTCAACGGTTCTGAGAAGAACGGGTTTGACAGAGATCAGGCCCGCTGGTATGATTTGTTCAACAACAAAGAAGAGCTGCATATTTTTTGACTTATATTAGATGTATGTTGCCAGTGTAAGTTGCTGGTTTGCTTTGGTTTCCCACTTCTAATGGTGAAAGACTGGAAAATGAACTTGAGTCCATGAGTCCAGTCTGTTGTCACAGTCCTAACTGTTTTTCATTTTTAAATTAAACTGGTAACTTTTTGCAGCAATTCCACAACTTGTATGGATTGTCTTTCCCATTTTTAGGAGTAGCTAAGACAAATGGGTTTCTATGTCATGTCATTTTTAATCCAGGGAGTTTGGAAGACATGTATTGCTGATTTAAAATTTGTTTGCCTGCTTATTAGCTTGATAAATGGAACTAAAAAAAAAAAAAAAAAAACTTTAAGTGGTTTCATTAATTTGGGAAAAAAGTTCTAACATGGGTGTTCAATTTCCAAACAAATGTAATTTTACTAAATTTTGTGTTTTTTGCATGAGTGTGATTTTCACACATTTTCACCACTGCTGCCTATAAGTGTGTTTTCATTAGCGCCTCGATTTGAATCGAGTGTTTACACGATTCTGGCAAATCTGAAGGGCAAAGGCCACATAGATTATACGTCTCTAAACATGCACAGAGAACAAATATGCAAGGTGACTTTATATGGTGACAGCGGTATAAATTAATTAGAAGATGAGGAAAATGAAGCATAAAATCCATTAAGCACAACACATTCACCTTGAGGAAGTCCCAGCTTTCTCATATCACAAAAATCTGTTGTGCCCTTTGCATGTTATTCAAGCTGATGTTCCAAAATGATCATCTGTTGGACAACAACTTTTTCATGAATACTCTAATCTGCCGCCATTAGAAATACCTCGACATGAAAAAGAAGAGCTCAGAGTTAGTCGTGTCGGTATCCAGTCAGAAACCATGATTTCTATCAGATAACTGTGTTGCATTTGTGATGGCGATGTGTCAGGTATCAAATTATTGCCCTGATGGTGGGTCACACCGGCAGAACGCAATAAGTACAATTTACATGTCTTTGTAACGAGTGTCAAGACAGAGGGGCTTTCCGCAGGGTTGCTTCGCAAGCTATTAACTTCTGAGGATGAGATGCAAAGTAATCATTAGCATTTGAGAAAAACCATTAAAATTCAAAGCAGGAGCAAGCAGGTGTGAGGGAAGAAGGCTGGCAGCACAGAGGACGCTTTGGGTAAAATAAATAAATAAAATAACTCGGTGCTGCTTAATGCATTCTCACTCAGCCTGAAAAACAAATTATTCTTCAGGTCTCACCCAACTGTTGCCTGTTTTTTTTTTTTTGTTTGTTTGTTTGTTTGTTTTTTTGATGTGCCTGCATCAAATTACATTTTTTTGTTGTTGTTGTTGTTGTTTTTTGTTTGGTTGGGTTTTTGTTGTTGTTGTTGTTTTTTAGATTTTAATAGAAAACATTATCAAAAATTTCTTTCAGATTTTTAGATTTGGTTTAATGCCAATGTGAGATTCTCAGAATAATCAGTCTTACCCTTTTGAGGGAAAAAAATCTACTTGACTATGATATTTATTTTATTGGAGGAAAAAACTGAAAGGAAAAAACAAATAAAAATCTCCTCCAAATAAGCTGTTGTAGACGTGAGAAATCTTGTAAGACAACAAAGAGGAAAGTACAAGTGCAGCTTGTTTTGTCAGTGACATTCACAGCTCTCTGGTGTCCCCTAAAGGCAGATTAAAGATACTGCAGTTACCCCCTGACTAGATCATTTTTTAGATTAACATATTTGCATGTGTGTGCTTGTCATTTATTTACTTATATTCAGTCATACTGAATTACTTGAACACTCTTAGGTATATATTATAAATGTGATCTCTTATGGTCATATTTAACGCCTTAAATATTAATAAGCTATACAAGATTGTGTAGCTTGTCAACAAATAAGCAATTCCCTCTGGGGGATCAATAAGGTATATTCTATTCTATTTCATAATAATTGTTTAAACTTAATCAAAAAAAGCAAGAGTCATTCAAAAACTTTGTTCTGATGTCAATCTCCATTTTTAATGCTGCATTAAGTTATATAATTGTATATATGAATGATATTTTATGTTTCTGAAAGCTACAGCGTGATGCTATCAACACCAGGTCTTACAAACTTCCAGAAGAAAAACCTGCTAATTTCAGCAAAAGATGAACATCAATAAATTGACATATTTGTGATTGTGATGTGACTAAATTTGAAAAGAAGGATTTTCTAGTCACTGTATTTCTGCTTCAGCAATTCTGAAATACAACTTTCATTATTTTGTTAGGAAGATTTAATTAAATAGTTAAAATAGTTTTTTGAAGATAATTACTGAATCCATCAATAGATGTATTTATATGAAATTAAACACTTAGTTTTGAGACTCTGTTGTTGCTCTTTTTTTTTTTTTTTTTGATTAAATGATTAATAATTAGGCCGTTAAAAGGAGATTTTTATTTACACAATTTAAGCCAGGTGGAGCTAAAACTATTATTTGAGAAGTTCTGGGGGAAGACTTTTTTTTTTTTTTTACAGTTTTGTCATTACTACTTTCAAAGTGTCGTTTTCTTTTTTCAGCAATTTGCATTTTTTTGAATCCATATACTCCAGTTAACAATCGATTACTAAATTAGTTGGCAATTATTTTAATAATCAGTTAGATACTTCAGTGGGCATTAGTAACATATTTAAAATCACAGAGCATCTTTCATCTCCTGAAAGATGCTCTGGTTAGCAGAACAAATAATAAAAAAAAAAGTTCAGTTTTTCCAGCTTTCTCCTTAGAAATTTGTCAAACTACACACCAAAATTTGCTGCCACACGGTGAAATATTCTTCCCCTTTACGTTCCTGACCTGAGCGTTGAAGGTGGAGGAGAGATGGAGATCTGTGTGCGGTTTTCAGACGAGATGAGGTCCTGCAGGGTGTGGCTCATGTCCCGGAGCTGGGCCACGGTGCAGCTCCGCAGCACCGACCCCTCCAGCTCCACGGCCTCGGCCCGCTGCTCCTCCTGCTGGACCAGCTGCTCCAGATATCGACTCCGATCCTTCAGCTGCACCAGCTTCGTCTGCAGCTTCTCAATTTCCTCCTGGTGACACATTGCACCGGAATAATCATCAGCTGCACTGTTTTTTTAAAAAAATACAATTAAATTAAGCATTATTTAATTAAAAATTTATCATTTTGCAGTGAAAGTAAATCAAAATGTAAAGAAGTATGCCACTAAGAGTCGTGTATTTTTGAGAACAAAGTGACATTTGCTTGTGTTAACCTATAAATCTGGTCAATAAAACTGAAATATAAGTTAGTATAAGTCAGAAAATCGATGGGCTTTTTTTTCCCACCGACCCGAGGAAGGACAAACATTAAATAATCTGTACTGCATTTACCTCAACTTGATGTTTTTCTTGAATCAAGTGATCCCTCCGCTGCATTGGGTCAGACTGCTCCACTGAGTCTGGTTCTGATCTCTCTCTGCCAAAAGAATAACAATAAAAAACATAAATCATCAAGCACAAAAATCAGATCCCAGGACATCTGTTTTCAGAATTCACTATTAAATTTTCATTGTCACTTTACCCACTATTTGTAAAGCCCCATTAAAAAAAAAAAAGAAAAATAGAGATAGAGCAGTGACTGCTCTTCCCTGTGTAATGCTATGGCAGGCCCAAATAAATGTTATGTTATCTGCAGTGGGCTGTAACCAGTGCAAAATGCTGCTTTTCACTTCTCAACAGTCAACATTATTTCCACTGAAATGGAAAACGACTATCATTTCGATGTAAACTGACCTGCGATGACAGCAGTCTTCCCTATGGAGGGCGCTGTGCACCACCTTCGAGAGTCTATCCAGGAAGTGGGCAACGCTGGGCTGCATGGAGGGTAAACCCAGTTTGAGAGCGCCGCGCTCTCTGCAGAGCTCCTCCAGCTTCTTCCCAAAGCGCTCAGCTGAAAATGTGAAATGCCGATTAACTTTGAGAACATGATTATTATGTCAGGGTAGAAAATTAACATTTCATGCAGTAAAACTCCTTTTATTTCAACCACTTATGTCACCAATACAAACAAATTGTACAGGTGAATTTGTTTTTACCTGTTTATTTATATTGCTTATGATTTCCACTTACTGTTAAGAAAAACTAGACATTTAAGATAATAAAATTACAGAAGACTAATAGAAACATATTTTTCAATGCAGAAATGTGGACTTAATAAAAATTATGTTTGATAAATGCATAACGTTTGATAGTTAAATATTACTTTTAATCTGACAACCCAGCTTCATTCGAATGCATATTCTAGTTTATTGAACAATGCTCTAATCCCTATTATATAGCTCTATTGCTGAAGTGTTCACTCTGCTTCAAAAAAATATAAATCTCTCACAGTTTGCATGTAAATTTAAAAGTGCTTCAAAATGACAATAAAAGCATTAACCAATGTAAGAACAATAAAAACATATTTAAAATAACAATCATGAGCTCTTAAGAATAAGAATGTTTTTAGATCTTTGTTGGTCCGGCTTGTTAAAGACGTCAAAAAAAAAATCTTTCCAGACAAAGAAGAATTTAATTATTAGACTTGGAGTTTGGTGCATCAAGCAGTGAAGCTGTTTTAATTGAATTATTTCTGTCACGAAGCTCAAGAAATGGGTCAAAATAGTGTCGTGTTTTGAAAAACTTTTTTCAGGTCAGGCAGATGAAAAAAAACAACAACATTCTGGTCAAGCAGCCCAAACTCAGATTCAAAGTGAATGTCAGCATAAACTTTGTTCTGCAGACTTTTTGGTTCTTTTCGGTTTGAAATTAAAACATCCAAAACATTGTGTGCACATCCAATTGTGTAGGAAGCAATGGATGTCTACACAAGGGACTAGAAGACTGAATAAATAGATAAAAATGAACAGAATTCATAAATATTTGTAGAACAGACATGATAAATGAACAAATGTAATAAGTCTATGAGGTGTCTGAAAGTGGGCCAAGTCATAATTTGTTAAATCAGATTTGATTATCTCAAAACCTGGTACCATGCATCTCTCGCTTTAAAAGGTTTCCGTTGTAAATTGTCTGCATAAATAAGTAAACAGCGTGGAATAAACAAAATTTAAAAATAATAAGATAAATGCACTTTACAAAGCTCTCCTTTCATTTTGCAAATTTTAATATGAAAACACAAACTCAGCTTACCAGCAAACCTCCACAACTACAACCTGACTATTCATATTATTAAATTAATATTTATCACATCAAACGTTGGTTAAAAGTTCACCTCCGTCGTAGTCGTCATCCAGAATGGCTTTCTGCTGGAGCCTCTGCAGCTTCAACATCATGGACTCGATCTTTGACGGGACAGAAAAGAGAACAGTGAGTATACCGGGTCAAAAGTCTTGAAAAGGTTTTCATGGGTCAGAGTGAGAGAGCAGCGACCGCCAAGTCAAAGTTACTCGGTCACACACACTGAAAGAAGAAAATAGTTGAACCAACTTAATTGACTTGCTTCTCTCCGTAACAAATGAGTCAATTAAGTTTATCCAACTAAATTAATTAAGTTGGTTTAACTTGAAATTTCAGTCAGTCTTACTCAAATCATTTATTGTACTTCAAATATATCGGTAAAGAATCTTTTTTAAGGGTTTTTTTGGCCTTAGTTTGAGAGTAAATAGAAAGAAAGTGGGTAATAATGGAGGGAGAAGACATGTGGCAAAGGTCATCAGGCCAGGAATTGAACCTGCAACGACTGCATTGAGGTCAATGCCCTCGTTATGTGCTGCACTACCGCAGTACCTGGTTAATAGAAGATCTGTCCCTGGTGAAGCTTGCGTCATGACATCAGACGTAAAATACGAATGTGGCATTGAACCAAATTGCTTCAAGTTAAATGATATTGTTAAGTTAAAATTGTATAAGTTAAGTTAATTCAAAACAAAAATTATGTTGTCATCACTAAACCAAATGAATTAAGAGAGATTACACCCACCTTGGTGTAAGTGCGGTTGTTCTGGAGGCAGTCCTGCAGGACGCCGTCGTACGTCTTCACCAGGCTGTCCCAGCCTTGCTCTGTGGCAGGCGTCGCGCTCTCGTAGCCGGAGGTGACAGAGGAGGCTGAGGCTGTGTCCGAGTCCACCGACAGGGAGGAAATGACCTCTATGTCGAGAGAGTGGGACTCAGAGTTCGGGAGGTGGGACATTTCCTCCTTGCCAGTCCACAGACAGTCCCGCCAACATCTCCCACCATGTGAACGTTCTTCCTTATGGACCTGGCTGGATTTGGTGGTGATTTCCTCTGTTTTTGTCTCTAAATTAACTTGTTGATTTGTTGGTTCTGGTTCCTGTGGCAGCCTAGCAGAGTCTGTATTCTGGTTGCTGTTTAGAGACTGCTGGATGAAGCTAAAACTTGAGTTAAAAACGACCTCAGATGAAGATTGAAGGCTTGGACTGAGTTCATCCGATGTGGTTTGAACTCCATTTGAAGGGCCAGCCAAATTATTACTCTCTGAAGAACTATACGTGGATCGCTTGTGATGTAGATCACTCATTAAAGACACTTTGACGGTAGGAGCTTGACTTAACTGTTGAACTCTGGTTGCTTTAGTGATGTCAGTGGGGCATCCAGATTTTCCATTCCTAATGCAAGCAATGCTCTCCTCCTCCTCTTCTTCGTCTTCCTCTTCGTCCTGAGCATGAGCAGTGCACTGCAGCCTGGCCTGCTCTCCTCTCATGTACCCTGGTCTCCTGTGCAGCCTCTTACGGCCAGAGCTGCCAGCTGTCCCAGATACTTTGCCACCTGTCGATGCAGAGATTAACCATTAATCTGGGCAATAGGTTCACGTGGGAGATAAAGTATGAGCTCATGGAAGGAGAAACTGCAACATGGAAGACTGAAAATCTGGAGCATTACATTGTTCTTTACTTTAACTGGACTCTTCCAGCCCTGCATCACTGTCTGGATAAAAGAAAAAAAAAAAAAAGCTGTGCTGCTGTGCAACATTTCCCACAGTTCAGCTGCAGCTGTTGGGAAATACCACAGTCATATTTTAAACCAAAACACGCCTCTCTATGAAAAAGTGGCCAAGTGAAAAATGTTTCTTCCGTTTGTTCTGCTCAGAACAACAATCATCTAACCCGAGAGAAAATATTCCAGATTATGTAAATAATGCAGTTTGTAATTATTGTAAAAAAATAATAAAATAGAAATTTTAACTATTTGTTAAAACTGCGAGACAAATAATCTGTGAAAAGTACAATCTCCTCCTCCTAATCCTTGAGGAATTATTACCGTTTGAGAAAATGCACCAAAAACAATCAATCAGAGCCTGGACGACAGTCTTAGCACTGTCAATCACCCTCATGTACTCGCTGCTCAATGTGCTAATGGCCAAGAATCAACTTAAGGTTATAGGAAACCCACTTCTCTGCCGTCATTGGTTGCCATGCTATCTAGCCTTAGGATTCATAACAAGCTATTATAGTTTAAGGGCAGCATAACCACAAGAGATTGTGTTTGACAGCCTTAAGAGCCAATCAGAGCCTTATGGCTCTGATTGGTTGTTTCTAGTGGGCTCTAGAAAGAGAGTAGAGGAGGTAAATTTGTGGGGGATTATTTGTCTCAAATTAAAAATAGATTGAAAACAAAGAATCCTTGAAATCTGAATTCATATACTACATAGAATGGTTACACATACTGTAAGCATGAAGGGGGACACAAAGACCCAGGGCCATCCAGACTTTTATTTGTTTATTTTGTTTTGTTTGCTTAGCTGAAAGCAGCTTCAAATAAATGGGGGAAGTAAAACCAAACAAACTCCCACACAACTAAAAAAAGAAGTCTTAATAAAAGCTCAAATAAACTCTGTTGAGCTAAAAACACTTAGAAAGTAGGACAGAGTTGTCTTGGCCAATCACATTTAATTGAGCTATGAGCCTGATTTTCTTTAGGGTGATAAAGAAAGCTCTGTTTTTGCATTTAGACACCTGCTGCGATGCAAATTGAAACATATAATGTGTTGGATTCAATAGAGGCAAGCTGAGATGATGGGAATCAACAGCCTCTTTGTGTCCAGCTGCACTTCCTACTTCAGACTCACTTTTCTCCCTCCATTCATGCACACACCAAAAGCACAGAGGCACACTGACACTTTTGTGCTGTAACGAGAGGAATCAGATAAGCATTGTCCATTTCACACACACTAAAAGAAGTTATTGTAGTTTGTCGTCTGAATGTGTAGACTCCATGTCTCGCAGCAATGTGTCAAGACAAGGAAATAGGCTACTCAGCCGCAGCCCGTAGTGACTTCTAGTGATGCAATCGTCCCATGTGACTGGGAGCATAGGACATAAACAGAATCCACTTTAGGATGTCAGACTTAGAGAGTGATAACAAGCTGCCTCCTTTATGCCCAGGTCGGTCCCAGTGGACCGAGAGCGCCCGGTCCACTGGGACCGCAACATGAAAGCTCAAGTTCCACCCAGCTCCATTTATTAAAGTGGATCTGTAGCTGTGGCTTCAGTCCCATAAAAGACTGAAGGAACCCAACCCTTCAACATAAGGACCAAATACCACAGCACCATCCACCATCTGGTGTGGTTGCTATTATTATACAGGGATCCCTCAGGAGAGTGAAAGAGCCTGGCTGGTGAAAGGAGAAGGACTTGCTGGTGGTGTTACGGCATCCTCACCATGATTCAGTTGCACACAGACAGCTTTTCCCAGTAAAAGGGAAGGAAATGCCTAGGGGCTCATTCTGTCTGACTGTGTGTGTGTGTGTGTGTGTGTGTGTGTGTGCGTGTGCTTGCACATGTTCATGTGTGTGTTGGGACATCAACTTCTTGGCCTTTTGGTGGTATGTCTTTCTCTGCTTCCTGTGGTGCTGTGAGCAAAAATAATTTGCCAGGAATCCCATTAGAAAGTAGAACAGTCACTGTCTTCCTATGTTTGATTCACATTTCCCTTCTGCTTCGCCTGGGCTTTCTCCCATTAGCTTGGATTTCTCTGGTGGAATTTTAACTGGACCAATCAGAAAACAGAAGGAGAAATTGTCAATGATGATGTAAACTAAAATTTTCGTCTGCTTGTAGTTTTAGTAAGACGTTTACTTGTTGCCTATGCTTCCAAATATTAAATTAATATTAACGGTCAGCTCGTTAAGGTCGACACTTCTGGCAGTGGACAGTGTCGCCAATTTCTGGTAAGCTTCATAGCATCAAACTGGTGCATTATATATGTAATAACTAATAAATTCCAGCTATGGAGTAGGACTAAGGCCACTAGAAATAAAAAAAAAATCAATTGTGATTTTCTTACTTCTCTTTTCTAATTCTGTATCAAAATTTAATTAAATAACCAAACATTCTTAGATTAGATGCATGTCAATTACATTTTTAGCATATAAAAATAATCATAATGATAATAATGTAACTATTTTTCCCTTGAAAGATCTTTAAACCTGCACTTTACCCACAATGAAAGCCTCCAAAATTTCTTTGGTAGTTTTGAGTTTTAAGACTAGATTTGCCTGAACAACTTAAACAATTCTGGTTCTGAGAAATGAAGTCTGAATTTGTTGAAGGGGGTCTTATTGCCTTAATCCCTTTTGTATCAAGCAACCATTTCTCAGCAGTCCAGACTGTTTGCTTTTTACCATCCAAATCAAAAAGCTCCAACAACCAAACATCAAATCTGCTGCAGCAACAATTGATCCCCTCAGTAATTCTTTCCTTTGGCGAAGTCTGAGAAAACAAAGCGTCACAGTTATTTACATTTGGAGCTAAAAGAGACCCTCAGGTTAAACATTGTGTCCCTACTGGCTGCTGAAACAACAGAAGAATGCAGAGGAGCTCATAAAAACACAAACATTTGAGGAACAGGATCAGTGCACAGCAGCCTCCTGAGAAGAAGCGCTGCTTGGCAGATGTGCGATGCCTCGGCATTCGTGATGAAGAACAGCAGGAAGAAAAGGGAAGTGAAATGAACCAAGAGGCTATCTGAAAACCAGCCAGTTTTATAAACAGGAAGCTTGAATATTACCCGTGAAAGTCCAGCATTAAAAATTTCTGCGGGTGTGAGGCTTAATGCCTGACTTCCTGTTTATTCCCATGACGATCATGAACCAGCAAAATGTGACAGAGCTGATGATGTGGACAGATATTTAAACACTTTGTGCTTTCCATTTTATTAAATCAAACATGTTCAGATAAAAGGCAGCTTGAGAAGAAATTTCTGCACTTTACAGAAAACATGACAGAATGATAAATTATGATTATGATAAATATTTTCTCTTACATTTTAGAAAGTGTAACCAGTTGTTCACCAGAACCCTGATGAAGAATATTATAATCTTTGACATTAAAAAAAGTATTAAAAATCCAATCTTCAATTTGAGTTAACCTATTCAGTGAGAAAAAAAGAAAGGAGCTACAATAAAATCAGCGCTGTGACAATTAATGGTAGCCTACCTCAAACATCCTTTTAAAATAAATGCATCAGGAATATCCATCCCTGATACATTGTCTGCTATTTATCTCTGACTATTAAGCAAAAGATGGAGTTCAACTTACACAGGTTACAACAAGATAAATAAATCATCCATGCACCAAAGTCAGGAAAAATTTAGAGTAATCAATTAACAGTCAGGATTGGAAACCAGACTTAATTTTTGAAGTCAACCCAATTTCTGAGTATTTTCTAATTCATAATTGTCTGTTTTCTTGGTGTATAAACATGAAGCAAAACAAAACCCAACTTATATTAGACATCGACCATCAGAAAGAGGACCTATGTTTATGAAAAAGGCCCTATTATAACTACTGTAGCTTGTTTACATACCAATTGGTGGTGTAGAAGTGATGGCATAAGTTGTCAAACCATCACAAACCAAAGCCTGGAGTGTTTGATAAACAGGACAGGGACCTTAGCTGGTACACACTTTGGTCAAATGAGACTAAGATTCACATTTTCACAACAAATAACAGTCCATTTTGGTTTGTTGTGAAACAAAGAATGTAAAAGGTGGAAAACCACATCATCCCTACAAGCCATGCAGCAGGAGGCAGACAATACCGCAATTTAATCATAAAATTTAAGAAAATTCAAAGGTTTACAAAGCAAAAGACAACTGGGAAAACCTGAAGTCAAGGACACTTGGGTTACACAGCAGAATAAAGATACAAAGAATACCATCAAATCCATCTGTGAATAATTTTAAAAGTAAGGTGTCAAAGTGGCCTAGTCAAAGTCAAGACTTTCAAATAAGCTAATCATGCAAAAAAATCCTCAAAAGTAAAGCAATTCTGCAAAGATGATTGGACCAAAATTTCTCCCAAGTGACAAAACAGCCATCATCATTGGTCAGGACTCTGGCAGCAGAGGTTTGGGTGACTTTCAGCTGCCTGATACTTCTTTCCTTTTTATAAGATACTACTGCAGTAATCTAGCCTAATGAAAATAAAGACGCACCAGATTTCTGTCCTGTTTTGGCATGAACTCATTAGACCTGGCCATGTTTTAAAGCATTATGAACATCATAAACATTATTTAGTAGCAGACTTTTAGCCTTGATTAGAGCTGATCTTGACCCCAAAATGTTGTTTTCTGTCTTATTTACATTCAGCTGGAGGATATTCGGACCATTCACTGGGTGAGTGTAATGGGTTCTGGAGATATAAAGCAAAGAGTTACGTACACCAGCCCCCTTAAACGGAAGAAAAAAAGAAATAAAGCAGTTTATTTCTTACCTTCAGTGTTTTCGCAGAGGTGATGCAGAGAGTTCAGGTGACAGTCGAGCCCCATCAGCCCAGCAAACATCTTTCCCTCAATTATATAAATAACTATCAAATTAAAGGTTTTCAGAAGTCCGATAATGACAGATCCTGAAGCAACAGAGTTACATCCACCATGTTTCAGAAAAAGTGGAGCCAGGCGAACGGACTGATCTCATTTCCGCTGTGGAAACTAAACCCGGGCCGCTTTTTTAAAATGAATTCCTCTTCTAATTGTCGTGTGAAAGTGCAATTGTTCTTCCATTTCAAAATGCTTTTTAAATTCAAGTATTAGCAGCTGATCAAATCAAATTCTTACTTTTTTCTCTCTCTCTCTCTCTCCGCTGCGAAAAACAAACAAGGAGGTTCAGTTGCGCTTCAACAGGCGGAAAAGAAAAGCTGCTCCTGTGGTCATGTTTCCCGAAGAGATTAAAAGCAGGAGGACAAAAAGAACTATCCGATATGAAGAAATAGCAGTGAATAGGAATCTACTTTGTCTTGTCAGATCGGTAATCGATCAGCAAATCCGTTAGTCTGTCGCCGCTGCGCGCTGCGTCATGCGCCCTGCGTCATGCGCCGTGTTGGAGCTCCTACGTGTTCAGGAATTTGACTCCAGACTCCTTCGGACCGCGTCACAACTTCAGCAGATGTTTAAACACTGCAGCTGTTTGTGTTTATTCATGCTTTTTTTAAGAGACAGGCAATTAGGAAAGCTCCATCTGGATCTACTATTTGAGTCATTCTGCCCAAACCTGCTAAAAGATAAATTTATGTAAACAAGTATACATGTTAATGTTCATAGGTTCCTTACATGTTTCATTGATTAAGAGCTGAGGGGAAATCCATGGGAAAACCACCACAGAACAGGAGCTGGAGTCCCTTCATTTTCTTTCCCACACTCCCAAAGGCTCCTTTCATTCAGCCCGGCTGGCTGATGGACAACACAGCGAGATAAAAGCGGCTCAGTTCAGCGCGGAGTGGAGGATGGAGCTGCTTTTATCAGGTTGCATGCGGACTGGGAGAGCCAGCATTAATCAGCTAGTGCAGCAGATAAAACTTCCTCTAAATGAACAGACTCATCACCAGATTTATTTATTTATTTATTTATTATCGCCAGTATTTTATTTCAAAAATAAACGCACTACTTTGGTGGTGGCAATAAAATAAACATGGAATGTGCTTTTCTCGTTTCTGATGTTGTACTCAACGACTGCCACCAGATGGCAGTAAATAACTTCTTTACGTTTTTTCACATTTTGTCACAAACAAAGGATTTTAACGGGATTCTATTTGACAGAGAAACATGTTTATTAATGAGACGGAGCATATTATTATTATTATAATTTGAAAAATCTAATTTGTATCAAGGTTCTCTACTTTACTTATACTTTGCTTTAATAACAGCTGGATGTCTGCCTGGTAGAGACAAATCAGTCGACGAGGAGCTGAAATGTTTGTTCCTAAATCTATCAGAATTTTCGGTCAATCACTATCAGCTTCTTCACCTGGTAAAATCTACACAAAATCTCTGGATTTGGTCACATTAAGTTTTAAGGAGATATACTTATCGACTTCCTTTTAGTTTTTATTAAAGAATGTTTTTGTGTGTCAATTCTTTTTGGCCATTACCAGGAGAAATGTGCACAAAAATGCACATTGAGTGGGTCTTTGTATGTACCTTCCACCTTTAGCTTTTCAATTATAATAGTCTGCAGCTGGTACCAATACTGTCCAGAAGATGGCAGCATTAATATTTACAAGTAAAAACTGGAGCTTTCAAATTATTATCAAGGTCAAGGCCAAAATAAATATCTTCTGGATTGTGTTGATTAATATGAAAAGTACTTTTGAAGTAATTCACATCAGCTAATCACTATTAATCAAAAGCGCATAAAGTCAGCAATGATTCTGGAAAAAGTATGAAAAGGATTCAATAAGCTTCTTCAAAGGTGAAGCTTCCACTAAAACAATTAAAAAATTTTTTGTTTAACTTTATCACCATTTTTGTTCACCTATTATTGTTTTTAAGTAGATTTCTGGAGAAATATGAACATGTACACATTAAACCAGATGAAATTTAGATCTTTAGCACAAAAAAATAAATGTACTCGATGTAAAATCTATGGAAGAGATGTTGAAGATCAAACAAAAATATAATTGTAATATATTTACGATGTGCAGAACTGTGTTCTCAGTAAACAATTGTCCTTAAATAATGTTGATCTTGGCTTTCAGGTTTACTCCTAAAGTTGAATCTGGAGTAATGCAGTTCTGTGGGAAACTTTGACATGTTTGAACCAAGAAGTGATGCAAACAAGAATCATTTTTGGTCTGAATTGAAGCAATAAGCCTCCTCAGATGAGGAGCATCTAGTAACAATATGGCAGCTCCTCACCCTTAATATTTCTCTGCATGCTCTGAGCTTTAGATATAATGCAAATAAATGTGGTGGTGAGTGATCAAAGAAAATAGTGATCTGAAACAAGGGGTTTGTTTGTGTTTGCTGATGTACAAATGTTGTTATCAGCATCTGATGGTCCATCCCATCAGATCATCTGAGTGATACAGAAGAAGGCCACAGAGAAAATAAACAAACTGAATCAAAGCAGCTGGAAGTCTGAAGGAGAACACAACCAAACTTTTATTCATGCAAAACAGCAGAATATTTAAAATTTCAACAAAGAAAACAACAGATTTTCTACTGTAACAATGTTTGTGCTACGTTAACAAGCAGGCTGAAAGAACGGTTCTCACACTACATTAAAAATGCAACACAATATACCAAACAAGGATACACCAAAGGTGATGAAGAGTGTTTAGCTAAATCACTCCTTCCTCTGTGTCCATATGGGTGGTCCTGGTGCAGAACACATCTGCCAGCATGTGCTTGGGGATCTCCGAGCCGCGCACACGCAGGGTGTAGCAGGCGTCCTCCACTTTGCCCAGGCTCTGCCGGAGCGTGTGCAGCTTCTTGGAGACCTCATAAGGCCCCGTGTTCCCGATGTAGGAGAAGCCGTCGTGAATCTGCCGCAGGAACTGGCTCAGCTGGAAGGGCGTGTCGATATCGCCGTTGCCTACGCTGCCGATGCACAGCCGCATGAGCTCTCCTGTCAGGTCGGCCACGCCCAGCAGGTAGTCGGCCGGCGTCACCTGGAAGGTCAGGACTTGAGCTGACGAAGGCGGGGCTTCCACCGATTCCTGAAAATAAATTAATGAAAAAAGGTTTCAACTGCTTCACACAAACTACTCACACCACTTTAAAATTCATCAGAGTATGTTACGTGAGGCTTGATAAGAAACATTAGATAGACATGTTATTTGAGATGGTAACTTGTCAAATGTACTTTTGCATCTGTGTTGTCGGTTTTCATGAAGACGAGCCTCGCATTTATCTCCTCCAGGCTGATAAGGCTGCGATGACGGATGTAGTGCAGGAAGGTGACGGCCTCCACATACTCCTGAATTCCTGAAGCACAAAATATAACTTATATAAATCCGCACAAGATGGTGTAAAAAATGTACTAAGTTATTTTATTTGTTATACAGCAGAAATTAAATGATCCAGAAAATGCTAACACCTGCTGTTTGTGCATTAAAGAGCACAGATGAAAATAATCATCTTGTTTCCTGCCTCCATTGTTTGATGAAATGGTGATGATTTTTTTTGTAGCGGCTAAGATGAACCCTCATTTGTTTTCAGCCTTGAGTAAACAACAATCAAATAATTGCAGGACGGAAGATGTCGTGTCTGAAGTTTACTTTAGGAGCTGCACTCGGGCTTCAAAGGCTCCGCCGCACTGCGTTCATATTGCTAACCACAGCGTGGAGCAACAAGCAGCCAGGAGGGCCTCTTCACAGGGACATCACACACAGGTAGACGACGTTCATTAATTAGAAATAAGTCTGGATTTTATTTGGTGTTTCAGGGTAAAGAGGGTTTAAAAGAAATTGACCCTTTATTGATTTTTATTTTCTTCACACCTATAAGTTACTTTGAATTAGGACTGAAATGATGATCAGATCGATCAATTATTGCAATAATCATCAACTAATTTTGTAATCGACCAGTTGTTAACTGGAGAATATATATGCTTTGTTATTTTTAAAATTAAACATGTTCTACTCAGAACTCCTCAAGTTGCAAAGTGTACATCAGAGGGATGCTATCTTGTTGAATTTTAAGCAATAAAATGTTTAATTTATTGTTTGTATCTTTACAAACAATAAATTAAACATTCTAATATTGAATAAAAACAAGGATTAGTTGATTCATTGTCAGAATAATTGATAGGTTCATTGATAACTAAAATAGCTATTTGCACCCTACTTTCTTACTACAATTTAACAGCGTATTGAAGGCAACATAACTGTTTTCAGCTGTGTGAAATCAAAGAATCTGCTGCCTGTTGACTTTTTATTTAAATTTCTTATTTTATACTTGAAGTAGTTAGATTCTTACATCCACCTATATAAATAAACCTGAAAAAAAATCTCCAATCTGTGACGATTGCAGTCAACTTTTTCTATAGATGCCAAATATATGTACATTAATTTCTCATTCATCTTGTATAAGGTCTGCGCTACACTCAGTAATACACAAGCATTACAGTTTTGTGGATATTTGCAGCTATTTAAAATTATAACAATATAACATTTATATTACAGTTGGGCAATAAATCAATATCAATATAGATCACGACATGTGTTTGATATTGATAGGTATTACGTCTGATTGAATATTCAATATATAGAATATTCACTGAACCCCACAGCATTCTGGGAAAGGCAGGAGGGCCTCTTCCCACAGAGATAGTAATACACCATGGTTGTATTGACTAACTCACTCAATGTTTGAGTGAGTTAGTCACTCATAACTGCAACAACCTTATAACTGCTTAAATATATAAAAAAATAAATAAATAAATAAAACAGCATGTAGTGAAAACTGGGTAAACAGAAAATGTTACACTACCAATTTGGCAGTATTTCAGATATTTAAAACAAAAAACGAATCAATAATTATCAATATCGACTAATATGAAACACTTGTACTGTGATACGTTTTTTTTTAGCCATATTGTCCATATGTAGACCGAACCTGCAAAGAAAGGTGGAGTCTCTGATTGAGGACAGGATATTTGACATGAAAAGGTTACACAAGCTTTGAGGCAAACAGCCAGAGTTCAGTTCCTGAGTTTACTGCCTGGAGCTGTTTATGCTATCTGCTGTACAGCAGCCATTATTACCTTTGGTCAATGAAATTCATAAACAATGACTAAGGGAAAAACAAACTGAAAATAGAAGAGATTTTATTGGCACAGCATTTGGAAAAGTTGAGGGCTAAATTTGCGTGGACAGTCTATTGGGATCTGATAGACAAAAACTGCTTTTTATATTTTATAAATACTGATTGTTTATTAATATACTGAGAAAAGTGAATATTTAGGTTGTATTTGATTAGCATTGGACCACAGAGAGATTCACTGAGAAGTAAGTGATTCATGGGAAAAGTACATTTCTGTTTTCACAGCGT